CTTAGCGCCGTGTGTGTGTGTGTGTGTGTGTGTGTGTGTGTGTGTGTGTGGGGAGGGGGAGAGAGAGAGAAGAGAACAGGCATTAAACTCTTAGGCAGTCGAATGCCTGCACTAAAAGGAACTACACAGAGTCAGAGAGATCTAGTTAAGTAATGTCAGTTCTAAGGGTCCGGGATCTGATCGAGGCCTAACAGCACCGTCTTCAGTTTGGTCCTATTAGCTCGTGATTGATGGCGGAGGGGAAGCAAAGGCACAAACGTCAGTCTAAGGGGAAGGGCCTGCCGGGGGGACTCCTCCCTCCAGACCCACCTGGAAGCTGCCTCACCTTCTCTCGCTACCGAGAGTCTGTCATACAGAGTGAAGTAAGTCAGAAAGAGAAAAACGAATACCGTATGCGAACGCATATATATGGAATCTAAAAAAAAAAAAAAGTTCTGATGAACCTAGGGGCAGGACAGGAATAAAGATGAAGACATACAGAATGGACTTGAGGACACGGGGAGAGGGACGGGTAAGCTGGGACGAAGTGAGAGAGTGGCATGGACATATGTACACTACCAAATGTAAAATAGATAGCTAGTGGGAAGCAGCCGCATAGCACAGGGAGATCAGCTCGGTGCTCTGTGACCCCCTAGAGGGGTGGGATAGGGAGGGAGGGAGACGCAAGAGGGAAGAGATATGGGGATACATGTACATGTATAGCTGATTCACTTTGTTATAAAGCAGAAACTAACACACCATTGTAAAGCAATTCTACTCCAATAAAGATGTTAAAAATAATAATTATAATAAAATAAATCGAAAAATAAAAAGGACGGAAAGAAGGAGCTAAATTGGCCGAACTAAGTGGTGTTGCTGGAAGATGCCCCTGGCTCAAGTGTTGCCTCAACTTTTGAAGTTCTTCCAAGACACCTCGTGCTTACTTGTTCCCTCCCCTTCCTGCTGTTTTGCAGATCTATCCACTAGGGAATTGCGTGGCAGGAAGGTGTGATTTTTATTTAGTTTGCTCCTGATTCCTTGTTTGCATAGCATCTGCGTGCCGCCTGCAGCCCTGGGGTTCAGGTAAGAGCCTTAGGAAACAATTTCTTTAAATTCAGTTTAAGGCGTCAGAGTCCTAAAGCAGCTCTTGTATTACTGGTGTGTGATAATCCTGCTTCAGTAGGTATCTGTCTACAGGGCTTTGGGTAGGAAAGGGGTTAAGCCAGTTCCGAAATACATTCTTAAGAGGCTAAGCAAGAGACAGAAGCAGATTTTGAAGTTCTTCTGCTAGAGCTCTGCAAACTGGCTGTGAGGAGGGATGAAACCATAGAATAAATCATGAGAATTAGCAGACCTTTCTAGAGAGCTTTCTAGAGAAGCCCATGGATTATTTTGCACAAATGTTAACATGTACGTTTGTATATTCGTGGCAATACTAACCCAGTGTAGTTTAAAACAAGGCCTTCAACATATGTTAAAGAAGAAATACATATGTACAAAGTATAGAGGAAGTGGAAGAAAATGTATTCAGTGAAGGCAGTTTGGAGATTTAGGTTCTTGGACTGTCGCGTCCGGGAGGGATGCTGGGTTCCTTGCATGTTTTGCAACCTTTAGAGGCTAGAGGTTTGGAGACCCGGTAAAGATTGCTCAGCTGGTTTCTGGCAGGTCTTTATTAAATCTTTGTATTTGGGCAAGTAAGACTCTTGAATTCAAGAGTAGAAACCTTTAATCTTGGCCGTGAATTAGGGACAACATGTCCTTGGAGAAAATTACTCAGGAGGGGCCCCGAGTAACCTTTCAGAAAGAAATTCAGTAGTGAAGGAGAATGTAGGTCAAGCATAGGAGAAACAACCCAGAAATAAGAAGTAAGAACCTATTTTATTTGGGTCTAACAAACAGTAACTCCAAAGCCGTTTGCAGTCTGTATCCCTCTGCCCCTAACCGTTTCCGTATGTCAGGTTTGTGGGGTCACAGGGGCTTCCTAGGGTCCCTCCTTCCCCCCGACTTGACATTCAACAGAAGGACTGTGTCCATTCTCTTTGCTTTCACACGGACTGTATTGCTCTGTCTAAGGCAGGGCCTGCTGTGGGATTTTTAATGTATCACCTGAAGGGTTTTTGACCCAGTGGGTCCTCAGCAACTTTGCTGGGCTGAGTGACTACAGATGTCAAACCCTCCTCACTTTGGATGAGCACGCACACCTTTGACAGCTGAAGCCTTGCATCCATCAAAACTTGGGCTTAGCTCCAGGAGGGAACCTAAATAACAGGCTTGGGCAAGTTAGCGGCACGTGCATTTCTCTCTCACGTCAAAGATGGGCTGGGAGGGCAGGCCTGGTCTGTGCTGTCATCAGAGACCAGGATTTCTCTGTCCCCAAAGTGTTGCCCTCCAGTTCATGAGGGAGGGCGCACCCCATCCCATGAAGGTCCTGGTCCATCAGGTGCACGTGTCACTTTTACCCACTTCCCACTGGCCAAAATCTAGTTTCACGGTGATACCTGTGCTGCAAGAGTGGCTGGGAAATGAGTCTATTGTGGGCAGCCACGTGCCAACTAACATTTCTGTTACCATTTTATCAGAAATGGTGAGCAGGCGCATTGGAGAGACTAGCAACCTCTACCAGGAGCATTGACAAGGACTGGATTCAACATCCAGCCACCTCCCTGGTGATGATTTGCATGCGGTTGGAACCAGGATAATATTTTCATTCATTCATTTATTCGCTGTCATTCATTCATTCAACCACTCAACAAATATTTGACTGTGAGTGCTGAAAGTAAGAAAGTAGGAAGATGCAGTTGCTGTCTTCAACAAGCTGTTACCTGTAAGTGACGCTAGTCTAGGTGCTGCGTGGAGAAGGGGCGGGGCAGGGGGGGGCAGTGATCCAGAGAAGACAAGAGGGAAGGTGGAAGCGGGGGAGGGAAGGATGGGAGACAGACGGGGTCCTAGCTCCAGTGCACTCTGGAGAAACACCAGAAGTAGGAATTAAACATTGAAACTGAGGAGCCAGCCAGAGGCTTTGTGAGAAGCGCAAATGTAACTTTTTATTTTGGAAAATAACATATGAATGTAATTTCTACTCTATTCCTTGTGCAAACCGTCATGTCCTTCTTTTAAAAATGTTTTCTTTAGAGATGGTGCCACAGCTTATCTCACTGCTTCTTGGGGAGCAAAGCATGTTCCTTTATTCATGATCCTTTGTTGAAGTTTGTCTACCTGCCGGGCCTGGGGTGATACAACCAGGGAAAGAATCACAGAAGGATGGATGTTTGCTTTTATCTCAGCTCTTCTCTGGCTGGAGAGCAAAATGGAGTTTATCCCAATTTGACACCTATAGGAGCTCCTGATCCTTTTTATTACTGGAATAATTGTAACACATTTTGAAACAATTAAAAGGGAAAAATATAGACCCCCTGCAGAGGTTGGCCTGTGCAAGTTAGATTTGGCTATGACCAGTCACTTCTGAGTTAAACAGAAGAGGAAGGTGTAGATTATTTATGGAATTTGGCTCTAAGAAAACTCAAGTCAATTTCCTGAAATGGCCTAAGTTTGTGATTTTAAAGGGAAACATCTGCCTTTCCGTCCCAAAATACTTTTATTTGCATCAAACTGCACCCTGAGACTCATAGAGGCTTCCATATGATGGCGATGTGATCCTTTGGATGACAGTCTAGCTGGGTTTTAAAAATTTATATGTATAAATAGTTTTATAGGCACTGTAAAAAAGCATTTTAAAAAAAGATAAGCTCCCGTAACCTCACCATTGCAAAGCAACCATGTGCATTTGGATATATTTGCTTCTAGTTTTTGTTACTGTGCATATAGGCACACGTTGCTTTATTGCACTGCACAGCGCGTTTTGTCACAAACTAAACATTTGTGGCAACCCTACATTAAGGATTTGCTCACTTCGTCTCTCTGTGTTCCATTTGGGTAATCCTCCCAATATTTCAAACTTTTTCATCACCATTACATTTGTTCTGATGATCTGTGATCTTTGATGTTACTACCGCTACCGCTGAAGCCTCAGACAATGGTTAGCATTTTTCAGCAATAAAGTATTTTTAAAATTAAGGTATGTAAATTGTTTTTCAACATAAGGCTATGCACACTTAATAGACTACAGTATGGTATAAACATAACTTTTATATGACCTGGAAACCAAGAAATTTGTGTGACTCAATTTTTTTCTGATCTCCACCTTATTGCAGTGGTTCTGGAACCAACTTTTCTACTCTCTGTCTCTGAATTTGACTATTCTCAGTACCTCATGTAAGTGGAATCACACAGCATTTGTCCACTTGTGACTGGCCTAGTTCACTGAGCACAGTGTCTTTAAGGTTCATCCATGTTGTAGCCTGTGTCAGAATTTCCCTCCTTTTTTTAAGGCTGAATCATATCCGTCATGTGGATGGACCACATTTTGTTTATCCATTCATGCATCAATGGACACGTGGGTTGTTTCCACCTTTTAGCGATTGTGGACAGCATTGCTGCTGTGAACATGGGTGTAGAAATATCTGCGGGAGTCCCTGCCCTCCGTTCTTTTGCGTGTATACCCAGAAGTAGGATTGCTGGAGCAAATGCTAATTCCATGTTTGCTTTACTGTTCAAAATATGCTTTCATGCACAATGTGCTCCAATTTGGTTTTTACAGCAGCCCTGTGAGGGAAGCATTAATCTCTTCTCTGGCTGCAAGAAGGGGTTTGCCCAAAGTGAAACGGTCAGTTGGAGTTTCTTTGCCCAAAGCGAAACAGTCAGCGGGGGTTTCCTGACTTGGAACGTGGCTCTCTCCTGGATCGCCCACCATTAGAGTCTCCCCAGTCTCGCGCGTCCTTCCAAGGACAGTGTCCTTCGATTGTGAGCGGCCAGTCTGCTCCCAGCTGCCCCCCGACCCGTCCTGACCGTGCTGTCCAAGCTGGACCACTGCAAAGGGCAGAGGCTTTGTCCGTGGCCCCGGCGATTAGAGTTTCTCCCTTCAGTCTGTTTCCGTCTTTCCGTTCAGCTCTGTCATCTGAGCCATGAGGATCTGGTGGCTCCTGTTCGTCTCCGGGGTCTGCGCAGGGATGGTGAACTCACAGGACACCTGCAGGCAGGGCCACCCTGGCGTCCCCGGGAACCCGGGTCACAATGGATTGCCCGGGAGAGATGGACGTGATGGAGCAAAGGGCGACAAGGGGGACGCAGGTACCCACCACCTGTGCCTGCAGCTGCCCCCCGCTCATCCCCCTTCCTTTCACCTCCTTCATTCATTCATCGCCTGTGTGCTCACCCCTCTCCATCCATCCATCCATCCATCCATCCATCCATTGCCCAGAAGACACTGATGGAGAGCCTGCTCCGGCCAGATCCAGGCTGGGTGTCGGGTACAGGGCAGCACGAGCCATGAGGACCCCTGTCCTCATGGGCTTTCCCACTGAGTGGGGCTGCCTGTCTGCTGGCCACCATCTCCGATACTACAGGGCCGTTTTCAGGAGCTTGTGATGTCATAGATCTTTCTGCCTCAGGCGACAGGTATGAGGGATCTTTGGCACCGGGTCCTGGAGAGGCATCCGACAGCTAGGTCTCTGGCAGAGAGCACCCAGCATGGTGCAGGCCTTGCCGTGAGGCAGGTGGTGCAGGACGCCAGAGAACAGGAAGGGTCCTGGAGCCACACAGCCGCTCCTCAGGTATCTGTGCTGTGTCCCGGGACCTCCCCACGGTTTGGGGACTTGGGGACAGGATCCAGCCTCTGGGAGGGACAGTCCCAAAAGCCAGGATGTGTGAGTGGTTTCCATGACAAAAGCCTGTAGGCTTGATTTCTGAATGGGGTTCTTGAGCCCTGGTCTGACCATAGGGTCGTACACCTAAGGTGTAAGCAGAGGACCCATCTGGGTGCAGGAAGAAAACATCGAAACTTCTAGTGACATCTTAAAAGATAAATTTAGGTGAAGAAAAAATTGGGCTTTTAAAACGTTTGCTATATGAATCCGTGTGAATGGCCTCACTTGGTCGGTTTGCAGATACACACGTGTCATTTGAGGCCTGGACCATGTCCCGTGGGAAGAGTGGTGGCCCACAGTGTGAGCAGGCTGGCCGGGACCCTCCCACGTTCACTGACCCTCAGCGTGTTGGGATGTTTTGCACTAGGTGTGCCTGGACCAGGGGGTTCTCAGATTATGCTGTTGAACTGTCACAAAGAGATGGGTGCTGAAAATACTCCCGCAAAAAAACTGATGGTTGAAGGTGAACTTGTTAATGCAAGCAGCAAAGAATCCTGAGAAGGGCAGAGCTGCCATTTCCATTCTTAATGTGAATTCTTCAAATGTGCATTAGAAGGAAAAAACAATGATGAACGTCAGTCAGATCTGTCAAGATGTCTGCCCCCCCAACCTGGAAATTATTATAACTGTGGGCAGGTGAATTTACATTTACATTCATTGACATGCCCTTGTCCTGACTGTGGATGTTCCAAGGGTATCACAGACTCATAGGAAGATGCACACCAATTAAGTAAGGCATTTCAGGACTCGTGAGAAGCGTGAACACAAGCCGCTGTCATTTTTCTCAGTACGTCGTATGAAAGCTTCACCAAACGTCATGATAAACATTTAGAAGCCTCTTTTGATATTTCTTAATTATACCAGGGAATTAGATATTCCTCTGGCAATATTAAAATGGCATAATACACAGAAAGCAATTTCAGGATGGACTGAAATTAATGCTTTGCCAGCAAATGCTGTTAGAATATGGATTTTGAAAAAGCCTTTAAGGTTTGGAGAAACAAGAATTACTCAGTGTGGGAAGTCTGCTGTACAGATGTGTGACATTCCAGGTGTTTGTAGGTGTTTCCCTGCTCAGGGCGTTTGTGCTCTAGCGTTTACTGCGTGGGCTGGATGGGGCAGAGGGTCACCAGGGGCAGTGTCCCTTCTCACCAAGCCCCGCCCTGCACTCGGTGCTGGGCTCTCCTACCGGATAACAACGGCTCCAGTAAGTCCACGCCGCTTTGGGGCATTAGGCCCGTCTCATTTCTGGGGAGTGAAAGGCCCTGTCCAAGTGAATGGCAAACCCTCCATCTTATTGAAATCCATCCCTTATCCTCCCGCTGGTACCACGTGTGTACATGTATGTGTACATGTGCGTACACGTGCGTGTGTGTGCCTGCACACGCGCACAGGATACCCTGTGTCTTTGAGATCCCTCCGCACCCCCCCCCCCCCCCCCACACACACAGTCCCTCCTCCAAGCCTGGCAGCCACACATTTGCCATCTGCATGTAACCCAGTGATTAGCACAGCCCAGCCGAGCAGGATAGGAGGGGTGTGGAACCCTTGCTGCCTGCCAGTCAGACGGCCTTAAGTCGACCAGGCTTCAGGGAGTTACCAGGCTCCCTGAAATGTGTCACTCCCACGCCCCTCCTCACTGCAAGGACCGCCTTGGACCCACCAGCGGGCTGGGCCAGGAGAAGCGCGGGAAGGCATCGCTCAGATGATGCTGTCAGAACCTGACTCCGCTGCCCTCCAAGCAGGAGGCTTGGTGGCCCGATGCTGGCCTTTCTCCTGGGCGGCTCTTTGTGGGCCTCCTGTATCATCCTTCGGACTGGACGATGCACTCGCTGCCTGCACCCCCGGGGCTGGGGCACGTGCTCTCCGCGGCCTCAGTTTTCTCACCCGGCTCCGCGGAGGCGCCCGCCGCCCAGGGAACCTCGGCGCTGGCGCAGCGCCGGGCAGCCTCGCCGGCTTCTCCTTTACCCTCTTCTCGGTGGAAGTGTCGCATCCGTCTCCGTGACTCAAACTGCGGGCTTACAGCCTCGATTTCTCTACAAATGTCTGAGTCCCCTTTGCTCCAGAGCCGAGGCAACATTTCTGCAGGCCAAGGGCGCGGGTGGGAGCCAGGTCACAGCCCCCGTCTGGCGCTCATCCTCTCTCTCCGGCTCGAGGGCGCATGTGTGCGCTGGGTGGTCTATCTCCAAACTTGAGAGGTTTAATTTAAAACGCTTGTTATAACATATTCTATACACACAGAAGAAGATAGATGGAGAGAGAAGGAAGACAGATGCTCCTGTATCCAACACCAAATTTCTCTACCTTTCCGCTACTCATTCTCTCTCCTTCGTCCTCCATGGTCCCCGTTCTTTCAAGTTTCACATACTTCCTTAAGACTTGCACGCTACATATATAGTTTAGATTATATACAACACACATGTTTCTTAGAAGGATATTATGTCACATTTCTCACACTGAAAATTAACTTAATCTTTGTCTTACCGTTTTCAAATGTATTTGTGTGTATGTTTTATTTTTTTAATTTATTTATTTTTTGGCTGCGTTGGGTCTTCGTTGCTATGCGCGGGCTTTCTCTAGTTGCGGCGAGCGGGGGCTGCTCTTCGTTGCGGCGCGTGGGCTTCTCATTGCGGTGGTTTCTCTTGTTGCGGAGCACGGCCTCCAGGCGCGTGGGCTTCAGTAGTTGTGGCTCGGGGGCTCAGTAGTTGTGACTCGCGGGCTCAGTAGTTGTGGCTCGTGGGCTCTAGAGCGCAGGCTCAGTAGTTGTGGCGCATAGGCTTCGTTGCTCCGCGGCACGTGGGATCTTCCCGGACCAGGGATTGAACCTGTGTCCCCTCTTGGCAGGCGGATTCTTAACCACTGTGCCACCAGGGAAGTCCCGTGTGTATGTTTTATAATGAACATGTTTTTAGAACATTACCTGTACATAGCTTACAAACATACGTGTGTGGACATAACATAGGATGCTGGTGCCCGGGGCAGCCTGTTCTGAGCATCGGGACTCCTGGGTGTAGCAGAACCTCATGGCCTGATGTCCCAGTGGGTCTCCACGGCACCTTGACCACCACTGTAAGGCGCTAGAGAGATCCTTCTGGAACCGTCTCTCCCATCGCGAGTATGTGGTGTAACCATGGTCATCTGTGCTTTCATAGGAGGCTAGTAGTTCCACTCCACTCCCCACAGAGTGATGGAAAAGGAGCACAAATGACAAAGCCACCCCCCCCCCAAGTCCTTGTCACGTGAGAAACATGCAATCGTGATCATCATCGAGCCGGCTGCTTGGGAAGCCCACCAGTCCACTGCACAACCCGCTTCTTGGCGCACTCAACACCCTTGCTGCTTGCCCCTGCCTGCCCTCCCCCCGCAGGTCTGTGAGGGGTGGGGTGTGCGGGTCAGGCTGGGGCTCCCCGGGACCCTCCATCGCTGACTGGGACCCACATCGAGGGAAACTGGAGCTAGAATTTTAACTTCTGCCTATTTTCTCATTTTCCATCAGGCGAACCAGGACATCCTGGTGGCCCAGGGAAGGACGGGATGACCGGAGAGAAAGGAGAACCAGGTCAGAGATGGCTTTCCATCCTGCTGTGCCCACAGCCGGAGCCGTCAATGATAGGATAGGAATTATTAACTGCTTACCAAGGACAAGTCCCTTACGAGGCTCCAAGGATGCTCCAGTGATAAAGGCCACACGGTCCTTCTCTCCAGAAGCTCAGGGTTCACTGCAGAGATGGGCAAACTTTCCATAAAGGGCCAGATAGTAAATATTTTCAGCTCTGCGGGCCACAGGGTCTCTGTCACCACTACTCAGCTCTGCTGTCATAGGGAAAAGCTGCGTAGAGGGTGCCTCAGTAAGTGGGGCTGCGTTCCAGCGAAACCTGAATTTTACATAATTGTCACGAATCTCAGAACATGATTTGTGACCATTTAAAAGTGTCAACTGTTCTTAGCTTGTGGGCTGTCAAAAACAGGCGGAGGCTGGACGTGGCCCGCGCTCCATGGTTTGCTGAAGCCTGATTTAGCGCTGGGCCCTCAGGAGGGACGCTGGATTCTGACTCAGTGCCCTGGGTGGCACTGCAGCAGAAGGTGGCACTTGAGCTGGGCCCTGGAGGCAGGGAGGATGCTGGCAGCTGTCGCCGAGGGGGAGGGAGGATGGTTACCACGGCAACACGAACAGTGTTCTCGCCCCACTGGGTCGTTCTAAGTGCCTTCCACGTGTTGACTCACTTAATACAACAGCCCATAAAGGAGGCTCTTTATTATCCCAGCCGTACAGGTGAGGAACCAGGTGTAGCTGGGGAATCAGCTTGTGCATAAGCGGTGGAGACTGGGCTGGGTCCTGGCGTCTCATTCCAGAGCTGGAGCTCGGACCACGGCTGTCCCGTCAGGGCGTGGGAAGCGGGAGGCGCCGGGGAGGGGGGAAGGCGGATCCACGACAGCGCCACGCGCCTGGCGCGGTGCACAGGCCGGCAGACGCTGCGAGCAGTGAGTGCCCACCCAGGACCACCTGACTCCAGTGAGGGGCTTCTTGGGGGGGCGTCACGTCATCGGGGCTGCGCGTCAGCTACCAAAGCAGCCCTGGTGAACCTGCTGTCTGCCTTCTTACCTCTTCCAAAGATGCGTCCCCTCAGGGACGGGCAGAGAGCTGTCATTTCTTTCTTTTGGTTTTGGCCGTGTCGCTCGGCATGCGGGATCTTAGTTCCCCAACCAGGGATTGAACCCGCGCCCCCTGCATTGCAATCGCAGACTCTTAACCACTGGGCCGCCAGGGAAGTCCCAAATAACTGTCATTTCTAACGTGAGCCCTGATGCTGATATAGTAGAGTCAAAGGGTGTTTTGTGCACATGTGTGTATCTGCACAGTTTAGGAGTAAATTAACTTTCAAACCCGGAGCACATGCTGAACCTGTGCGCTACCTCATCTCATTCACTTGCTCAATAATAGAAAAACCGAAGTTGTTTTCACAAGCAAAGTTTCACAAATCGTCTCTTCCTCCGTTCTTTCTTGTCCTACCCAGGAGCCGATGGAAACGTTGAAGCAAAGGGCGTCAAAGGTGATCCGGGCTCAAGAGGGCCCCCAGGGAAACACGGGCCAAAGGGACTTGTGGGCCCCATGGGAGAGAAAGGCCTCAGAGGAGAGACCGGCGCCCAAGGGCAGAAGGGGGAGAAGGGCGATGTGGGTCCCGTTGGTCCAGAAGGGCCAAAGGGCAGCATTGGACCTTCGGGCCCAACCGGTTTACCTGGCCCCGTGGGCCCCACCGGAAAGCCGGGTCCCAGGGGAGATGCCGGCCCCCTGGGGCCCCAGGGTGAGCCCGGAGCCCGGGGAATGAGAGGCTGGAAAGGGGATCGAGGAGAAAAAGGGAAAATTGGGGAGACGCCAGTCTTGCCCAAAAGCGCCTTCACCGTGGGGCTCACGGTGCTGAGCAAGTTCCCTCCGTCAGACGTGCCCGTCAAGTTCGACAGGATCCTGTACAACGAGTTTGGCCACTACAACGTGGCCACGGGGAAATTCACCTGCCACGTCGCCGGCGTCTATTACTTCACCTACCACATCACCGTTTTCTCCAGGAACGTCCAAGTGTCTTTGGTCAAAAACGGGGTAAAAGTCCTGCACACCAAGGACGGTTACATGAGCTCCGAGGACCAGGCGTCCGGTGGCATCGTCCTGCAGCTGAAGCTCGGGGACGAGGTGTGGTTGCAGGTGACGGGAGGGGAGAGGTTCAACGGCTTGTTTGCGGATGAGGACGACGACACCACGTTCACGGGCTTCCTCCTGTTCAGCAGCGCGTGATGGGTCGGGGGAGCGGGGAGCCGTTATAACTCTGTCTCTCCATCTGCCCGAATCAGCTTGAAGACATTATTTGATGATTTTACCACGTCAATTATATCACCACTGTCATAACCATAAAAAGATGAAAGTGGGAAAGTTATTCCTAAAACTGAGTCTATAGAACTCGCTATCCTTCCAAGAGTAAATGTAAAAATACCTGCTCTGTTTATTACAGTGTATTTGATATTTTCTCTCATTCCCATGATCTGAAGAATCCTTTGCTCGGGCGTTCCCTGTGGGGAGTGTTTTGCTATCATTTTAGTGCTCGAAGGAGCCGTGGGATGATGTATCTCCCATCTGAATTCCTAAGGACATTACAGGGAAAGAAAAGGAAGTGTTTATTCCATCTGTGACTAATAAGAGTTTGGGCTGGTGACAGTGGCACAGCCCAGGAAACTGCAGGACACTCTGCTCACTTTCTATCTTGGGTTTTCATCACCATTCAACTCAACAAACAGTTGTTAGTAAACTGTTTGCCAAACTTGACTCTGTTTTAGTTTCCCTCCATATCCACAGTTCCGTATCTGCAGATTCAACCAACCATGGTTGGAAAATATTTGGAAAAAAAAAAATCAGGAAGTTCCAAAAAGCAAAACTTGAATTTGCCAACCTGGAAACTGCTGACATAGCATTTACACTGTACTAGGTAATTTAAGTAATCTAGAGGGGAACTGCCCTGTGGTCCAGCGAATAATCCCCTCCTAAAATTCTGGAAGCATTAACTATGCTTACGTCAACTCCATACACTTTTCCACTAGCTGAGAGCAACTAATAAAGAAGCAAGAGGAGACAAGCTCAGTGCATATTCAAGCGACAGCATCTTCCAGACCACAGCCTGGGACTCTGACGGACTTACAGCCGTTCTCTCCACACGTCAACCAAGTCAGCGCAGTTGTGACAGTATCTTCATTCCTTGGGAAAATGGGAATTTTCTGAATTATCATTATAAGCAGTCAGCACTGCTATAGATGAAAAGGTGAAAAATTACTTGGTTTTGGAAAACTTTGGATATATGTGGAAATCATTTGTTTATAGGTATTTTATTGGCTTGCCTTAATGTATGTTTCTTCTAGAACAGAGCCAGGACTCGGGTGAAGCACGTGAGACACCCCAAGTCCCCCACTTGCCTTGGCGCCCTAACGTTGGCCCAGCTGTAGGGACCGATCATTTTCTTTATTGAGCCAGAGTGTCCTTATGCTTTGGATTCTTTCAATTGCAATAAGCCAAGCTGTTTTTCCCCAGTGTTAAGTCTGGTGTTGTTATGGACCAAACAATTCGTGTACTAACTCCCTTCTATTTAGGGTCAGAACTTTATAGGTGAGATAGACATAAAGGAAAAAAGTACAATTTATGACCAGAACATTGGATACAAGCTTTCGTAAAATTCTTTATTTTTTGCAGGGCAAACGTATAAGATGAAATGTAAAACATGTTATAAAGAACTTCAAAAGGATAAAGTTGATTGGGAAGGTGTCTGATCTGCCATTTGGAATTATCTCTCATCTGCTGTCTGTGGATCTGGTCTGCAATTTTTACAAGTCTAACTACGCCAGGCTCCCTGAGACACAAGACACCTCATTAACGTAGCACAAGTCAGCATCCTTTGAGGGTGTTTTTACGCTTCAGTGTTTGCATTAAAAATGGTTAGGAACCATTCTGGGCTAAAGGAAAGCTCTCAGATTTGAAACTCCTTTTAAAAAATATGATAACGTAAGTAGTTTTGTCACATATATTGATGAATATTTTTACGTGGCAGATTTGACATCTGTGTAAGGGCCTGCCGCGCGGGCCTGCGATGTGGGGTGGCTGTCCCCAAGGACCAACCAGCCACAGACGATGCGGTATTAATCGCCACGGAGTTAGGACTTTGGGGATTTAAAATAATTTGGCATCTTTGATGAAAAAGTCAGCAGAAGATGAAATCACGACTTACCGTATGTACACAAACAAACGCAGAATTTCTAGTTAAGCTGTAGAGACTTGTGTAAGCGCACCCTGGCACTTGCCTTTACTAAATTTTCATTGTTCTCTACCTTTTTATCACTGGGGCTTTTTCTCCCCACCAGGCTACTCTGAAAACAAACTCCATTTAACAGTAAATTGTTGTGAGGACGGAAAGGGACGGGTTAGAAGCCCGCCCCAGCTGGCCCTCGCTTCTGGCTCTCTGGAACTTCAGAGAAGGTTCCGGGGCTGCTCACACCCAACAGGTGTTCCCAGGAGCAGACTCTACCTCAGGCCCACGCATTCAGGTGAGATACAAGGTTCCGTCGGCGCTGGTCCTTGGTACAGGGACACGAAGCATCCTTCGGCACGGCACGCAATGCCCTGAGCGCTGGGCCCTGGGGGACTGGATCAGGGGCGTCCGGTTCCGCCCAAAGCCGAGGCCCAGCAGCAGGCTCCCCGCCCGCCCACGCCAGCCTCCGCGCTGTCCTCCAACAGGGTCATGCTCACGGGCCGTACAGGGGATGCTCCGAGCGCTGCACAGCCTCCGCTCGCGGACACCGGGAGGGCGCCCCCCGGCCCCACCCCTCACCCTCTCCGCCGCTGCCCTCCCGCCCCCGTACTCCCTCCGTCGGTGACTGCAGCTTGGCAGATTCCACCCCGCAACAAGCTGCGTTGTCGATTATGTTATCGATCACTGCGAGTTTACAGTGGATGGCTGGAGGTCCACCGACAGCTCCGGCTGCAGGGCTGGGACGTGCGGGCGCAGTGCCTTGCGTCTCGCACCCTCCTGGAGCGGAGGCCGACGGAGGGCGACGGGTCTCGGTTCAGGGTGCCTGGCAGCGGTCGGCCTACCGCCCACGTGTGTTCCCGGCAGCGGGTGCGAGGCTCGGCGCCGCGCAGACCCTGCCACCGGCCCGGCCACGTGGGAGGGCGGGGCGTCCTGCGGTTCCCCCTCCAGGCGCGCGGGGGCGCTAGGCGCGGCTGCCCGTGAAAGCAGCGGGCGACGCTCTGGCCCTGGGGACGCCGACGTGCGCTGGCCCCGCGGCCTCCTGCCCTTCCCGGAAGCGCGGGGGTCACGTGGCAGGCGGACGCTGCCGTGGAGGCGGGGCGCGCTCTCCGGCGGGGCTGCGGGCTG